GACTGTCCCGACCCCTATCCACACCCCCGCCCCTGACACGCCCTCTGGGGCTCCCATCCTATCCAACCCCCCCTCCGTTCCTTGTCCCCTGACTGCTCCCCCCACACGACCTCTGCCCCATCCAACTGCCCCCTGCTCCCTGTCCCCTGACTGCCCCCGGGACCACCTGCCCCTTACCCAACTCCCCTCTCCCTGCCCCTTTACCTCAGAGCAGCAGGACTGGCAGCCGTGCCGTGCCGCTCCGCTGGAGCCAGCCATGCCACCACGCTGCCCGGCAGGAGATCGCAGTGCCACCACCTAGAGCGCTGGCGGCACAGCGAGCTGAGGCTGCGGGGGAGGGGGGACAGCCTCCTGGGGAGGGAGCTCAAGGGCCGGGCAGGACTGTCCCACGGGCCGGATGTGGCCCGCGGGCTGTAGTTTGCCCACCCCTGATCTAGACCATCCCTGACAGGTGTTTGTCTAACCTGTTCTTAAAAACCTCCAGTGATGGAGATTCCGCAAGCTCCATAGGTTATTTGTCCTGGAGCTCAACTATCCTGACAATTAGGAAGTTTTTCCTAATGTCTAACCTAAATCTCCCTTGCTGCAACTTAAGCCCATTGCTCCTTGTCCTAGCCTCAGTGGTTAAGGAGGACAACTTATCACCCTCCTCTTTATAACAACCTTTTACATACTTGAAGACTGTTATGTCCCCCCTCAGCCTTCTCTTCTCCAGAATAAATAAACCCAAGTTTTTCAATATTTCATTTAGGTCATGTTTTCTAAGCCAGGGGTGGTCAACCTGAGCCTGAGAAGGAGCCAGAATTTACCAATGTACATTGCCAAAGAGCCACAGATATATGTCAGCAGCCCCCACCACCCCATCAGCCCCCCCACCCCGCTCCCAGCACCTCCCACCCACCGGCAGCCCCACCAATAATGCCTCCCCGTCCCTCCTGATCAGCTGTTTCGTGGCGTGCAGGAGGCTCGGATGGGGAGGAGCGAGGGCATGGCAGGCTCAGAGGAGGGGGCGGGAAGGGGTGGA